AAATACAAGTAAGGAGTATTTTATAAAGATAATAAAAATATTAGAATATATTAAAATGAGAAGTTTTAGCTAGGATTCTGGTCCTTCCTTAAATAATACTTCTTCTTATTATTTATTATTGTTAATATTTCAGAGAATTATTTCCAAAAATTACTTTTGGTGGTGGTGGTGGTGTTGTTGTTGTCATGTATCTTTGAGTCAGAACTGACTCACAGCTGATCCTCCAGCAGCTTTTCAGAGGCAGAAAATTGCAGAGATGGAGATTGTCTGTCCTTCTCTTGTAGAGCAGCTGGTGGATAACCTTTGCGATTGTAGCACAGCTTCTTACCACTAGGGCACCATAGCTCTCCACTTTGGGTTTTATTGGAGGGAAATATACAAATCTATCCACCTGGGGTGTCACATATACTAGGTATCCACTTGGTGTCAGATACTATGACTGTTAGTGTAGATATAGTTTCAGATCTCAAGTTGCTTTGTGTCCTCAGCTTTCCCACACATCTAAGGTCTTCTGAAGTTCATTCTGTTAATATCTCTATAAAATAATTAGCAGAGTCTATTCCAACTCATAATTACCATCCATTGAGTATTCAAGGCTTTAAATCCTGAAGGGAGGATCCTGATTATCTTTTTCCCCAATGCATATATTATGGACTCAAATCTCCAGTTAGTAGGCAAATACACCAAAAACGTTCCTTAATATATTTATGGTTAGTTGAGTCTAGTACAACTCATAGTAACCCTGTGAACACCAAATCCAGACCCTGTCCTCTTCTGTTCAATCCTCATCTCTGACATACTTAAGTCAATCACTATTCCAATCCACCTCCTTGAGGGTCAGCCTCTCCTTTGCTGATTCTTAATATTTTCAAGCATGATATTTCTTTCCAAGGAATAGCCCCACCTAACAACATGCCCAAAATATGTGAGATGAAGCTTGTTCATCCTTGCCTCCAAGGAGGACTCTGGCTATATTTTATCCCAGGCGTATCTATTCGAGTTTTTTTGCATATCCGTGGGGTAGGTATTTAGTGCTCTTCTTCAACAGCACCATTCAAAGGCTTCAATTCTTATGTCATCCTTATTCATTGTCCTATCCGAAGATGAATAGCAAATTATTTAAAAGACCATGAACTGAATCAAGCACATCTTAGTCCTAAAGCTAACATTATTCCTCCTTAGTATTTTGGAGAGCTCCTCACCAGATTTCCCAATGCAACTTAACTTTTGACTTCTGGACTGCTAGTAACAACGGTGTCGGTTGTGTATAAGTTAGATGAAATCGTTGATAGCTTCAATCATTTTTCATCTATCTGCTCTCTATAAGCTGAGTGGTAAGGATTTTTGTCTTCTTGATGTTGAGATGTAATCCAAAATGAGATATTATA